TCTGGGAAGGACTGACACGGAGGGGTGACTCCAAACAGGAACTTACATGTGGAGCCAAGGCCCACTCGCCATTCACATGTGCCGGATTTGGCACCATGTGATGGGATCAGTTGTAGCATATACTTCCTTTGCTTTTTTGGAGACATAGTGGGCCCTGAAGAATCAACTCGGTATGATGAATAGTGCAGTATAAGGGTCATACATTTTTGGACACTGGAATTGATTGTTTTAAAGAATGTACAGCACAGGAGAGATGAGCCTTTTTCCATCTGAACTAAATCAAGGGAGTCTTGACTGTTTCGGATTCTGAAACTTTTTTTTTTTTTTTTTAGATCTTTCAGCCTTCAGCAATTCCTATAAGAAGCCATAAAGTCTCTAAGAAGAAGCTACAATCTGTATCTAGGTTAGAGAAGGTGGATGAATTCTGTAGCAGACTCAGATTTGATTATCTTGATTTGGTACAAGAGAACTCAAAGATGGCAGCACTTTTCTTCCCAGTGTGGCTGGCCCCTTGCATAAATGACCTGCTAGAGCAGACACGAGGCAGGCAGGCAGCATCCAAGATAGTGAGTAGTCGAGAGGGTGAACAACTCATCTCTGTTTCCCCTGGAATTCCCTGATATTAGCACTGACAGTCCCATGCTCCGGTCCTGAGCAAATTGGAATGGTTTGGTCAGCCAAGTAATAAAGGACGGTGTCCCAGGGTCAGCAGTTTAACCTTCTTACTTTGGCAGTTTTGGTTTGGGCTATTTCACCAGACATATGAGAATTTTAAGATGAAATTGCCTAAAAGTCTGACTTATTGAGGCTAGCCCTTAATACTCAGCCTCAATCAAGATGATTTTGAGTCTTTCATTTTTCAGGAATTTTCTAACAATATAAGTTTGCAGGTGAATGTGCTCTGAAGGTCTGGTGGCTACAGAATAAGTATATCAGAACACTAGAGTTCTGCCAATCAATTGTTAATAGTTTACCAGAAATATCCATAGAAATATTTGCACAACTCTTAAAACAGATAAAATCAGGTCAATGGAATTAAGACTCTTGGCAATTAGGAGTTTATCCTGTGAAAAGGACAAAGCTTTGGTGTTCAGCCAAGAAGGAAAGGATCTAAATCTGATGTGGAATGTCTGTGAGCAAGAGGGAATTAAGATAAATTTAAGTCCAAGATAATGAAATTCTTTTCAGCTTTAACTTGCTATAAATAAATAAGCTGTGCCGGCTCCAGAATTTTTACCTAGGAGGGGCTAGGGTGGCAATCTGACTGACAGGGAGTGTGTGAATTGCGTTTGTCTGATGCTTTAAGATTGAGAAAACACCAACTGTCCATCTCAAAGCTCCTAACCCCAGCCTCTGTATTGGTACTGCCTCCGCAAAGAAACAGCTTTATAACAAGGAAGCAGAGAAGAAAATGGATGGAGTAGCCATTTCATATGTGGAGTCCTATGCTCTTTAGATCTAGAAAATAACGGCCGGGCACGGTGGCTCATGCCTGTAATCCCAGCACTTTGGGAGGCCGAGGCGGGTGGATCACGAGGTCAAGAGATCGAGACCATCCTGGTCAACATAGTGAAACCCTGTCTCTACTA